ACAAAGATATGCACTTTTGTCAACCAAAGAGGACGCTTTCCCGTTAAATGTACTCTAATAGCATTTTGTGTAAATGTACTAACCTTTCATACCTCATATGCACAAAAAACACGAAGGAGAGGTGAAGCCTTAACAAGACTGAAAGCACAGACAATCTATGAAGAATGTAATAATATATGGGACAAAGTTACTTGTATACATGTGGTTGGATGAGCACAAAGGAAGGGCTTATAAAAAGAAAAATAAAGGAAAGGCGTAGGAAAACACTTGCTCAAAGATGGCAACCTAGAGGATAAGTAACGGATGTCTGAATTTGGCAGAAAGAATCTCGGAATTCTTAAACTTGCGATTGTAGAAGTATATCAAAAGGAGACGGTGATGGTGGTATGAAGCTATATGAGCGTAAATAAAAGTGAGATTCCGATAAATCAATAAATGCACATAATGGAATAGAAATGCAGAACAAAGGCAAAAAAAGTTCAAATGCTCGATAGTAAAAATGAGGTTAAAGATAAAATCAGCTTGGAGAAGAGTCGGCGGGTGGCGGGGCGGAATGTTTGTTTCTGTTTACCAGCATCACTTTGCTCAATTGTTTGAGTAGCCGAGGCTGTGACTAAAAAAAAGAAAATATGTAACTATAACGAGATAAATTAAGAAAGTTTTATGAAGTGAAATGCGATGCAGTGACATGTGGATTAGCAATCGGCTCATGAAAGTGCCTAAAATGTATTTAGATTGTCTCATAATTACAATTATTCACCATGAACGTTTTTTCTATTTTATTTAGATCATAGAAATCAAGGCAGTATAGGGTGATATGTCAGCGTTCCTGATAGCCTCTAAAATTCTATGAAACGTAGTTGAAATAGATATGTGGGCAGATTTGCTGTTATCACATGGAACATTACATTGTAGATGGTCGGGGAAAAAGTATTAAGATAAAAAAGAAAAATTCTAGCCAGCCTAAAAACAATTCACCAAAAGACTCATGTGTCTTATTACATATTTCAATTTTTGGCTAAATTAGTCCCCGATGAGGATAATTGTGAGGAATTTGAAGTTTTCTAGAAGCATTACTCTATAAATTCAGATTGTATGATATAAAACTGATCAATGTTTGCCTCTACTTGCTGCTCTTTAAACCACATACCAGAAATGCCGGTAATGAATCAAGCCTACGAAAACAAAAGCACTACCGTGTTGAAGCCAAATTCTCCTGATTAATCAATAAGATGAAGTACGGTAGAGAAATGGAAATGAAATAAAAAAATATCAACTCACCTTTTTAGCAGTAGGTTGTTCCTAATAAAAGAGGAGAAATAATAAAAAAGTAAAATCAAATGAAATGAAAAACAAGGCAAGAAAATTAATCCAATAAAAAAACATAAAGGAGAATTATATTGTCTAGTTCAAAGACAAGGCATCGCTTCATAAATTAAATATAAAAATCTTAAAAGATAAATGGAAGATGATGATGGTATCGAAAGGATTTGAGACTAAACTTGGAAAATGCAATGAACGAGGTCCATCAATGAATCAAAATTAATTCAGCTTCAGCAAGGAGAGGCTCTTGTATAAGGGAAAAGCCGTCACCTTTGACTGTTCTCGATGCGAGGCAAAATAATTAGACATATGAGATGTATCCACCCTATTTCATTTAAGGTAATGAAGAACTGGTAATTGAATTTTCCCACAATGATATAAATAGAGGTGATGTTTCCATTAAATTCCACATAGCCTTGATTTCCCAAAAGATGTTCTCATCCAGAGTGGACCCCAGTTTCGATCTCATTTAGGTCTTATTAACACACCAAGCAGGGGTCAAACCATGACAATGCAGCTTTTCTTATTTTTCTGGTCGATCGATTTTACTCGGTTCCATTATACCCTATTTCAAGTCTCATCACAACTACAGAGAGAAGATTCAAATAGTGAGTTGTATGATCATCAGGGGCTTACGATCAACGAAAGTGGGATTATGAGATGAATAGGAAAAGTTGACTCAGATATGTCTTGGCAAAGACAAGCAAAAAGGAGGCACCTGGATCAGGAATCTATATCAAACAAGAAGAAAATGGATCGCAAGCAAGAAGAGGGTGAAGAAGTTACGGAAGATCTTCTCAGTGATTGTATTCTGCTCGAAGAAGCGACTACAAATTTGGGAGCCTGACGGTCACGAGACTAAGGGAACGGACAATCATAACCGTCACACAAAAATTCGGCAGTGGCAAAATTGACTAAGAATCCACTCGAGATGCAGCAGGCGATCATAGATGGAGGCACACCGTTTGCTCAGGGTACATTGGTTTAGTCAAGGAGATTAAGAGCGAAGGCAGTGCCTAGTATCCGCAAGAATGGGAACCGGAGCCTAGTTGGTCTGCAAGTGAGGCGGCATTATACGTGCTTGAGAAATAGCGTCTGGAGTAAAAAGTACACTGGGGCTAGCGCTAAGTGGAATAGATCGACGAGATAAGAAATTGATCTACCCATCAATTAGGCAGACCCGGAAAGGAGGCACGAGTCAGATTAGCCACTCGAAAGGGAAGGAGGCGAACAAACAGCATGCGTCATGACGCCACAGGGCATACCTCTTGAGGAATGAAATATAAACAAATCAGTAGTTGTGATAGGGCGAGGGCGGAGCAAGAATAGAGGAAATAGATAGAGGCCAGTACAGAAAGTGTGATAGCACAACCGTTTCGGCAGAAAGATGGTCAAGGGATTGACTTCACTTGTTTCGATGATGGGTCGTGGTTTGGTGCTGACACTGGCGAGACCCATTGTCACTGCTTACCACGATGTCGGCGAAGCTTCTGAGAATGTACCAAGTCTATGGTCCGACTCTGTAAAGTATCAAGCATACTACGGACTCCGGATAAGGTGCGTTCCTCTAGGTCTTATGTCAATATGACCAAGTTGTGAAAGGAACGAGAGTTATACTTAGTTTTGTCAGTTAAAAAAGTCGCGTCATGTCGTTATGCCGTCAGTATGTGCATTTGGTTGGCTTAGATTCAGACCAACACACGGGGAAGAAAATAAGTTGGCCAATCAAGCCAAGATAGCTCCAAAAATGACCAATTAATTTAGGGCGGAAAATAAACTAATTTGGTTAGTGTACAGGAATCATAGCACTAACAAGGTCAATCTCATCACACACCAGATACAAGACTGGTAATGATACGAAGTCCCCACGCCTGTAAAAGTGTAAGAATGCGAAAATAAAAGTGCATCTCAATAGTGACCAAAACTGTCTAGAAACTTTATTTTAATTTCTAGATTAAGTATATATAATTGTTACCAACCCCAATGGAGATATAAAGGTACATACTATGCGTCCTTTGGCTCGTTTTCCAGGAGTGTGTGCCATTTCGCTGGAGGCCCACACGACATGACGTCTGACAGGTAACAAATCGCAGCTGGAAACCGCAATTCGTTCACGCAAAGACCCTGAGTCGTCACTGGCTGCAGTGGTGCCAGTTGCTACTGTTGAACGACTAACTGTATCTGCTTCGTTAAACTCATCAGTTTCCTGATCAGTCAGACCAGCTGCCTCCTCCGCTTCACCCAGTTCCCCGACTCCATGTCTGGAAGAAACACCGGCAAGACGTCTCCCACCCAAGTTGGGAAAATGAACTAGCGGTCGGGGGTGAGCACGGACTGGAGGATTTGGCACGGCAAATAGTTCAGGACTTAGATCAGTGAACTCTTCGTCATCGTCATCCTCATCCTCGTCATGACCAGATCCAGATCGGGACCAGCCCGGGTGATCAGTGGCTCGAACCAGCATACCAGAGTGCCGACCCAGAGAGCCACCGAGTTGTTCAAACTCTTGAGAAGGCGGTACAGAATTGGTGGAGGAATCCGCCTTTTTGCTTGACAAAATAAAAAATGTTACTAAAAATAGCAGGCCACTAAAATGAATCAGTTATTGGCAGAAACATGTGGATGGTAGGTCAAGCGTGAAAGGCTGTGTTTTCAACAAAATTAAAAGCAAAACTCATTACCGAAATAAATGAGGGCAAGAGCAACAAATTTTTTTTAACTGGAAAAAAAGAGATGATAAATTTAAAAGAATGGCCTTAGAATATTGAGACCACATCTAATTGAACCGACAGGCAAGCTTTTAGCAGAGAATGCTAAGGAATAGTTTATGATTTTATTTGACTTATGCTCACTAATGGATGATTTGGAATGAATAGCTCGTTGATACTGCATAGACCATTTACCCCCTATCAGCCAAATAGATTTAAAACTCACTGTGGACCAGTGGCAACGGCGATAGGAGAAGAAATTTGAAAATGGAATGGAGATCGTAGGATTGTGGAAAGAAATTCTGGGCTCATTGTCCCGCCAACCTAAGTAATGCGAGCTAGTTTGTCCATCGTGTGACAAACACAGCGATAGCGAGAAAACAATATTGTAAACTAAGTATAATATAGTCAAGGTTTTTCCCCCGTAAAATATGATTTTTAGCTGAGAATGTCAAATAAAAGACAAAAGGTAAGCACAGCACAGATTTATCTGAGTTTTAGGATGGTGAACCGAGGACCTTTTGAGGCAATCGAAGCCTCTTTTGATTTCAGGTGAGGCCACTTCACGAATCCCCCCAACTAGACTTTCCTTTGAAATGAAAAGTTGATGCCCAAGAAACAAACAAAATCTTCGAAAGCAAACCTGAAGTCCTGTAGGGTTCAAATATATATAAAAAGGGCTTATTAAGGATCTTGAATAAAAGTGGTACATAATCTAACAAGCCTGAGGTGAAGGACTAATAGTTGATTTTCTTCACATTAATATGAGTAGACCTCATTCTTCCGTTCAATTTTACTTCCCGAAAGGTGTTTCATGCCTAAGTCCCCACTAGGTCTCAGCAGAGCTTCTATGGGATTTGAAGCAGGGTAGGGCAGCGAATATTTTCGACACATTAAACAATACGCCACACCGCCACGAGTATCCCTGGGTCATAGCACAGGTATGAATTTCAAATGAAGGCAGACTTTTTTAAATCACATTTTTGCCGTTTAAGTGTCGATAAAGCAAATTGTTATTTGATATTGCCATCGACCACAATTCCTATATTCTTGAGTTGGCTTAGAACCTACCAGCATATCTAGAATAAAAGCTTCATTTTTCCATGACAGAAATCTACTCATTGATATGGATAGAACAGTATTAAGAATCGTTGGCAAACTAAGAAACCGCTCACTTTGTATGTTCTTAAAGCGTAAAATTCACGTTTTGCAATTAATTTAAGTATATCAATAATAAAGGTACAAATGAAATTTTGCTAAATTTAGTTTAAGAATATATAAAATAGCGGTAAAAGTAAGAAATTGTAAAAGACGTCTTTCAAAACAGCCTTAAGTGTTTTAACGAAAAAAATATTGCCTATGAACCCAAAACCGTATAGTATGTTAAAGGAGTAATAATCCAAAGAATAATCAGTCGAATATTATCGCCTAAAATGTGATCATTTTTCTACGGTAAATCCCATAATCGTGTTTTAAAGTGAAGGGCTACAAAATAGTAGTTCACTCAAAACTAGCTATTATTATGAATAAAAACCGTGGGTCGAAGAGAATAGCCTATCAACAATGAAGTATAGACTAGGAAAGTTGCTCAAAGCAAGATTCATATCGCTAAAAAGAGAAATCTATGGGCATTTAAAGTGAAAGCACTCACTTGGTTCGAGCTAAGTGAGTTCCTGTCACAGCTCGACGAAGACTGAAAAAGCCGCTAGAAGTGGATGACCCAGCGCTTGAGACACCAGACTGCGCAGAACTTGAACTTCCTCCACCGGCGTTGGCGGTGCCATTTCCACTTCCGCTGAACTTGCTTGCAAGGATACTGCGGGTTTTGAAGAAGGCGTGATGACCAGTAGATTTGGCTTGGCTAGATTTTATTTGTCCGGAACCCTGTGATATTGGTATAGGGGCCTAGTTCGAAACAAAGTAGAATACATATGAATAAACAAATAAGCCTAGATGCCTGGCATGGATAAAATACAACATGAGATTTGGAAAAGTTAACAGCAATAAGGAAACCAAAACAAGCATATTTTTGGCCATTGA